GACATTGTAATAAACTGAACTTATTGAAAGTGTGCAGTTTGATAAGTTCTCACACCTGGTGAATCTGCTCACCACAGTCATAATAGTGAACATGTCCATTACCCTTCAAAGTTTCATCATGTCCCTCCCCAAAGCCTTGTCCTCAGAAACCCACCAATCTGCTTTTGGTTTGCATTTTGTAGAGTTTTATATGAACCGAATCATGTCCTATGCCATTTGGGGGGATCTAGATTCTTTCACTATGCATAATTACTTTGAGAGTCATATATTCTGTTTCCTGTATTAATTGTTCATTCTTTGTAATGTTGAATATCTTGTGTGAATACGTGTACATATTACAATTTATCCACTTACTTGTTGAAGACATTTGGGTTGTTTCAGTGTTGGGATATTACAAATAAAGCTGCTATGGATGTTCATGTACAAACCTTTGTATAAATGCAGGATGTCTTTTTTCTTGGGAAAATATCCAGGATTCTAACGTCTGGATCATACAGGAGATGTGTGTTTAGCTCTTTAAGAAACTGCCAAACTGTTTTCCAAAATTGTACCATTGTACATTCCTGCCTTGGTGTGTGCATATTGCAATTCCGCCTGATTGGTGCCAGAATTAGGTATGGTCCATCTTGTAGTTTTAACCATTCTAATAAATATGTAGGGACATAACATCACAGTTTTCATTTGCATTTCCGAATGGCAAATAATCTGGAGGATCTTTTTAGGTGTACTTATCATCTGTATCTTCTCTTTTATAACATAACTATCAATCTTTTGAGAATATTTCAGTTATTTGTTGCTGTTGAGTTTTAAGAGCACTATACATTAGGGATAAAAGCCCTTTCTCAGACCTGTATCTTGAGAATTTTTTTTCAGTCCGTGGCATATCTTTTAATTCTTCAAAGAATATTACTGAGAAAAGCAGAAGTTTTTAATTTTACTAAAGTCCCTTTTCACATTGCTGCTGTCATTTCTGAGAACGTGTTGCCAAACTCAATGTCATGAAACTTTCTTCTATGTCTTTCTATACAAATTTTATAGTTTCAAATTTTCTACATTGAAATCTGTGACCTGTTTTGAGTTAATGTATGAGTTACATACTGAAGTTCTTTTTTGCAGATGAATATTTGTTTTAGCAGCATTTGATGAAAAGATTACTCTATCATCTACTGCACTGCTTTTATTCCTTTGTCAACAATCTGTTGTTCATATCTGCATGGATTTACTTCCAGGCTCTCTAGGCCACTTATCTATTTGTGTATTCTTACATCACCACCACAGTATTTTGAATAATTTTATAATTTTTATTAAACATTTTGAAGTTTCATAACAAATTGTATAATTTTTATAATAGTTTCATAATAAATTTTGAATTCATGGAGTGACAGTCCTTTAACTTTATTCTTCTTTTTCAAAGTTGTTTTGGCTGATCTGAGTCACTGTATTTCTCATATTAAGTTTTTAATTAGCTTATCAATTTCTACAAAAACCCATTTGGAAGATTGATTGTGATTGCGTTGAATATATAGATCAATTTGAAAAGAATTGAAATCCTTAAAAATTCTGATTCGTCTGATTCCTGAGCTAAGGATATCTCTCCATATATTCAGGTAGTCTTTAGTTTTTCTCAGCAATGTTCTGTACTTTTCTCTGTATTGATATTTTACATATTTTGTTAGATTAGCATTATTTATTTCATACTTTTGATGCTGCTATAGATGATATTGTCATCATTTGTAATTTTAACTGAGTAGGATGTCTTTTCCTGTGTCTGGCCTGGTAACTTTCTAACCATGATAAACTGAGACAAACCTAGAGCTTACTGTGCTTGTTTTCCATTTCTCAGGAGTCAGTATCCTTTATTACTTGACACCCAGGGTTTTGAAAATTATTAGTTTATATACATCACGTGCCTGTTTTTATTTGTTTGTTTTAGACTGGAAGATAAATCCAGTCCTTATTACTCCATCTTGGCTATAAGCAAAATCCAAGGTAAGTATTTTGTAATTAGGTACTTAAGCTTCTCTTTCTGTTAATGATATCACTGAACAAAGATAGGCTGAGCTGGAAGGTGCCTGAAAAAAATTGTAGTCCAAGACTAAAAGATGAATTTCTTGGCTTTTTGTCTGGTACAGTTTCTATTTCAAAGTTGATGACAGAGCTGTCTTCCTTAGCCAAGCTGACAGTGCCTATGAGTCATTGACCATTCACCCTACTATTTCTGTCTTCAATCTTTACAGACACTAGTGTATTTTTTTTCTTAAACCTGAGATTCAGAGGCAATTGCCCTGATTTAATCTATCCTGAGATGTCTCTTTTCATTAATTTATGTACTCCCTAATCCTAACTATATAGGTGTTCCCATTCTTTTTTTTTTTTTCGTCGAGACAGAGTTCTACCCTGTGCCCTGAGCAGAGTGCAGTGGCGTCAGAGCTTTCTGCAACCTCAGACTCCGGCTGTGGGCATCCTGCTGCCTCAGCCTCTGAGGCCGCTGGGGTTACAGGCGCTCGCAGCAGTGCCTGGCTGGGTTTTTCCATTTTTTTCATGAGTCGGGGTCTCACTCTTGCTCAGGCAAGTCTCGAACTCCTGAGCTCGAGCAATCCTCCCCCCTCAGCCTCCCACAGTGCTGGGATTACAGGTGTGAGCCACCATACCTGGTGGTGTTCCCATTCTTGATGGTATTTAAATCAGAGCTATGAGTATGACTCTGCCAGTAGCTTGTTTTTGGATGCCCCATGAACTAAACAGTTTTTTAAATTTTAAAAGAGTCATTTAAAATATATATATATGCAGCAAAGACAGTAAGAGGCCTGAAAAATCTAAAAATATTTGCTTTCTTGCCCCTTTCAGAAAAAATTTACTGACTCCTATTATAAATAAGTTATTATTTATGATGCATTTCCTTTCCATTTCCTTTACTTATATTTATTTATTTTAGATAAGAGTCTCACTATGTCACCCTTGGTTGAGTGCCTTGGCATCACAGCTCACAGCAACCTCAAATTCTTGGGCTTAAGTGATTCTCTTGCCTCAGCCTCCCAAGTAGCTGGGACTACAGGCTCCCTCCACAATGCCCAGCTACTATTTTGTTATAGTTGTCATTGTTGTTTAGCAGGCCTGGGCCAGGTTCGAACCCACCAGCCCCCGTGTATGTGGCTGGTGCCCTAACCACTGAGCTACAGGAGCCAAGTCTCTATTTCCTTTAAGGAGAAATAAACATAATGGGTTAGCACAAGGGCTCTGAAGTTGGGCTGCCTAGCTTCAAATCCTGGTCAATTACTGAATATCTCTATTATGTAAGACAAGCTACTTACCTTTTTTTTTGCAGTGTTTGGCTGAGGCTGGGTTTGAACCTGCCACCTCTGGCATATGGGGCCAGCACCCTACTCCTTTGAACCACAGGCGCTACCTGCTACTTACCCTCTTGATGCCTCAGTTAGCTCAATTTGAGGAAACACTGGCAGTTACCTTATAGATATTTGAAAATTTAGTAGGATAATGTTTACATAATTCTTCACAAGGTGCCTAGAATTTGGTAAGAGTTCAAGAAATGTCAGCTGTTTATACCATTACTTTATTTATTTATTTATTTATTTATTTCATCTATTTAAGTTCCTACAAATATTTCTATTTTAGACATTAGATTCTTAGGCTTTTATAGCTTATTGGCCAGAGAGCCTAAAGGACTTATTAACATACATTTAATTGTATTTATAAACATTGCTTAGGATTTCTTTATGTGTGTGT